TCTTTCTTTCTTTCTCCTTCCTTTTTGTGTGTATATGTGCATATTTGTGTATGCGTGTGAGTGGGTCTTATATGAGTGTGTGTACGTGCCTGTGAGGTCAGAGGACAACCTCTGCTGTTGTTGCTCTGGTACCCTCTACCTTGTTTATTTGTTTTTGTTGTTGTTGTTTTGTTTGTTTGTTTGTTTGTTTTTTTGAGAAAGTGTCTTGAACTAGATTAGCAGTCACCAGTAGAATAAGCTGTCTGGCTAGTGAGCCCCAGAGGTCTGCTAGCCTCCACCTTCACAGTATGAGATTAATCTGTGGATGTCTGTCTCTGCTTCTATCAGCCGCTGGATGAGGGCTCTAGTTGCAGATTGGTCGGCGGAAAGGGAAGGAAGTGATTCCTTGGGTTTCAAATGACCCTTTCACAGGGGTCACCTAAGAGCATCAGAAAAGAGATACTTACATTATAATTCATAGCAGTAGCCAAGTTGTAGTTATGAAGTAGCAATGAAAATAATTTTATGGTTGGGGGTCACTACAACATGAGGAACTGTGTTAAATGGTCAAACAGCATTAGGAAAGTTGAGAACCCCTATAGATCTTCAGCCCTTAGAACACAAATGTTCCTTCATTTCTGGGACTGGCTCGTTTTTGTGTCAATTTGATACAAGCTAGAGTCATCAGAGAGGAAGAAGCCTCAGCTGAGGAAATGCCTCCCTGAGATCCAGCAGTAAGGCATTTTCTCCATTAGAGATCAATGGGGGAGGGTTCAGTCCATGGTGGGTGGTGCCATCCCTGGGCTGGTCCTGGGTTCTACAAGAAAGCAGGATGAACAAGCCAGAGGAGCAAGCCAGTAAGAAGTTTGTAAAATTAATTTTGGATTCCTATCTAAGTTAATTTGTATGTTGATACAAATTCAAAATTATATTTGTGTATGTTCCTGTTTCTGTTTATATATTGTGTATGTTCTTATTTCTATTTTCAAGATTTTTGTACACAAATGTAAAATTATTTTTGTCATACTGGTATGTTTCTACTTCTGTTTAAGATATTTTGCATACTGATACAAATTGAGGGTGTTTTGTCTTTGCACTATACATTTCTACCTCTGATTAAGATATTTTATATATTATTGCCATTTTGAGGTCACTGTCCTCATGCTGCACATCTGTTTATTTTTATAATGTGAAGCTTTGTCTTTAAGCTATGTAGGTTATGGAGAATTATAGGTTAATAGTCACCCACATTTGTCATAGTTATGTTAGTTAGGTTCTCTAGATGCACTGAAATGTACTCTGCATAGATAGAGGATCTTCAAACACTTCAAAGACCTACAGAATATGGCATTTAAATGTTTTAATAATTTAGAACTCTGTTGGTGTGAGACATGACTGCTCCTGGCAGCACTGAGCTATTCCAGAGAGTATGATGGGCACCAGATACACTTCATATGGAGCTTGTTTTCTCCTTGGCAAAACTGGCCTATTGGGAAAAGAACTGCCCTTGTCTCAACTGCTGACAGTAAGCATGCTATCTAATCTGGACAACCAGGATACAAGGAAAAGAGACTACTGAACCTTGCCAAGACAGGATAGGACAGTCTTTTGAATTTTCCTGCTTCTGAAAATGGTCTGTCACATATTCTAGGCCTATAGCTAAAGTTGGTTGCCCAAAAATTGCAGAGAGACTTTGAATAACTCTCTGGGTAGTCAGCTGTTTCTATCATTTTTTGCATCTTTTGGAAGTCACTTGTTTGTACTTTCTACTTATTCAGGTAATATTATTTTCCTTCTCAGGTCTTTCAAGGGGTTGAAAACGAGATGACCACAGTTATTATCCTCTCTAAGGCATATTAGGTACAAGACTTAGACTTTTCAGGATAGGATAGCAACTGGAATAATCCCTGTTATTTGCCTATTACTTATTGCCTGGACAATTAGTGCGTGTTTCTTGCTTGATGTTGTTCTTGTTGGTTGTAGTTCCATTTTTATGTAGTTATTGCCATTTCTTTTTCTGGACAATACTTGATAATTGTTCTTTGTTGGTTTGGTTGGTTTTTTGTTTTGTTTTGTTTTGTTTTTGGGTTTTCAACATAGGGTTTCTCTGTGTAGCTTTGGAGCCTATCCTGGCACTCACTCTGGAGACCAGACTGGTCTCAAACTCTCAGAGATCCGCCTGCCTGTGCTTCCTGAGTGCTGGGATTAAAGGCCTGTGCCACCAATGCCCGGCTTTATTTTTTTTAAAGATTTATTTATTTATTCATTCATTCATTCATTCATTCATTTATTATGTACACAGTTTTCTGTCTGCATGGATCCCTGCAGGCCAGAGGAGGGCACCAGATCTCATTACAGATGGTTGTGAGCCACCATGTGGTTGCTGAGAATTGAACTCAAGACCTCTGGAAGAGCAGTTAGGGCTCTTAACCTCTGAGCCATCTCTCCAGCCCAATAATTGTTCTTATTGTATATAGTTCTATGTTAGATTTAGAACCACCTTATTTAGACAAAAAGGGGAAGTATTGTGGAAAATAATTCTGCCAATAGACTTGGGGTACTGGCCTTAGGGCATGGCCTCTTACCTGCAGACATGACCTCTTATGAGAAAGTAGGGCTGTTGCTTCCTCCTTGGGAGGTCAAAGCAGAAGCAATCCTTGTGAGTGATCACATCTCCCCAGGGCAGACAGCAAGACACAGCAGCTGGATCCACAGCAGCTGGTTTCACCTTGTCCTGTATAAGTGAGTTTGTATTTCCTGTTGAAACCACATAATAAAGATTCTTGTAAATTCTCATCAAATCAGAGCGAATAGGGACAAAAGGACTCTAAATGATCATAACAGCCAGGGGACCTCAAAACACTAGAGTGGTCTGGACCTTACAAAGTGAACACAGGGGCCTCCTTAACAAAGGGAGACTGGAGGTACTTTTTCCTCCCATGAACACACGTCTCTTCAAGTGTGAATTCGCTAGGTCCATTCATTCGTGTCAAAACCCACTCACACCTACTGCTCATTCCTTCCTGGTCCTGACAAGAATATGCACTCCAGTTGCTGTCAAGGGCTTCTAGTAGACCAGTCCCTGGAATTTCCAGATGAAGTCAGTAAGAATAGGAGTCTGGGTGCAACTCCCTCACCTAGAGCCTCAGGGCTGAAGACAAATCCTCAGAGACACCTGCCTGTCCTGTGAGCTTCCCTCAGCCTATCCAACCCTCCAATGAGATTCCTGTACAACCCAACTGACAGTGCCCAGCTGGTCCTCTCCACTGTCCTGGGTCAGGGGCACCTGGTCCCATTTCAGGGCTGAACTTGTGAGTGTCTAAACCCTTCAGCTGTTCTGATGTCTGTGCTGTGGTGCTGAGGCAGAGTCTGAGCAGAGCCATCTACTGGGACAAAGACTCCACAGGAGTCCAACTCAGCCAGGCAGGAAGCACCTATCCAGTGAAGGCCAGGGCAGCTCCAGACCACACTTTCTTCCTCATCCAGGAAGGGGTGGCATGGAGCCTGGAATCAGAGATGTAAAGGTGGGAAACAGGCCCACTGTGCAAGCCTGTTCCACTCCAACCTTCATGCAGCCCCTGCTTAGTCTTACCCAGGGTCCCGGAAATGAAGGAATGTTAGTTTCTGATGACTAAGGATCTAGGGCTGGAGACCTGAGTTTGGGGTTTCTATAAAGTAACTCCTCATACAGGATCGAGTAAGACGTGATTTGGGATTTATTGCAGCACAGTCCTCAGCACAGGGAGTGAGGGAGACAGTTTCTGTGGCATCTGGAGAGTCCCTCACAGGTCCCCTGAGTAGATTCCAGTGTTCGCCCAATGAAGAAATCTGCAAGAGGGGGAGAGGGGGATCCTCCAAGGGTGTGATCGTGGACTTTAACCACATTCTGGGGCTCTTCCTTCTGATCACACTTTGCTCAGTCACACCGAAATGCCCTTGGTCCACTATGCATGGCTAGGACAGTAGATATGTCCTAGGTGCTAGGCCTGCCCCTGACCCTAGTGGAGCCCAGCATGGAGGGCAACAACTTGACTCCTCAGCCATCACTGATGCTCCAGAGAAAGCTTCTCAGGTGGGTTCAGCCCTCCTGATCAGTTTCCTCACGGTCGACAAAGTGGAGAATTGCTATTGGTTCTTCTAATATGTGATTGTGAGTGAAGGTGTGTGTGTGTGTTGTGTGTGTGTTGTGTGTTTTGTGTTCTTAAGGGTGTAGAGAGACTGTTCATCCAAGAAGCTCACATTCAGACTTGCCTTCACTCACAGTCATCCTCCTGGCTCACCTTGGAACAATGCTGACACTGTAGGAGTGACCCACCATACACTGGTCTTGCTCGACTTTCCAAGAGAACCTGGGCTGACCTGAATGAACAACACAGGAGCATTTGGAGATTCTTGGCTCCTTTCCATCTTGGTCATGCTATCAGGGTGCAGTGGAAGCAGCTGAGGGCTCCATCAGAGCACACGCAGGCCACGATGTACCAGCTTGTCTGTACATGTGTCTGTGTGTCTGTCCCTTCTTTAGTCCCTCACTTCCCCCAAAGCCCCTTTGGGTTTCAGACCTAAGCCAGAGGATATGCTGTAGTAAAACTAGGTATTCATCATATCGTGATGCACCTCTGTGACATAGTGCTATTCTGTCTAAAACTAACGAAATAGAGTTTAGGCACAGGGACAGCTGGTGAGAGCACTTCTATCTTTGCTAGAGGGCGCAAATTTGATTTGATTCCCAACCCCATGGCTAGGTAACTCACAAGTGCCTATGTCTCCACTTCCAGGGGGTGCAATGATCTGGGTACTCCAACACACATGGAATACAGACTCACATGAAGACAGATTAATAAAAAACAAATCTTTGAAAATAAAATAAGGAAATGATGACCCTGAGATGTGGAAGATCACTTTCTATTTTCAACCATATTGGGAATCATTGTTTAGACACAGCAGTTCCTCCTGTTACTCGATGTCCCCCATGTTGACTCCGAGGGGAGAAAATCAGGCACCTATGGATGTCCCTCTCAATGGCAAGGTTGTACTGAGCCCAGGAACCTTCCTTCTCCTGAGGATCCGTGACCTGACATTCACTACAGAAACATGTGGAGGCTTCACAGAGCTTTGGCAGGCTTCATGGACATCCAGTAGAAGATGGCATCTGTTAGGAAGGTGGGCAGGTAGCTCAGGGGGAGGTAGAAGAGCTTGGCATCCCAGCCAGCTGAGTATCGAGTGCGAGGGTGACAGGAAGTCAGGGCATGCTCCATGCAGTCTGTCACCAAGGTGAGGTCCTCATTGCACTTTTGGTCCAGTGACTTTAAATGTGTCAGATCTATGCAGAATGAGAAAAGCTTCAGATGGTGTTTGCCTCCCACGGAGGAACCTTTTCTAGATCCTATGCCTCCCACATCAGAAGCCATGCCCAAGCTCAGCCTGTCCCAGGTCCTGAGGACGGACCACAACCCAGCTTCAAGGAAGAACCATGCACCTCACGTCCTGTGTCTTAGCTCATGGGAAGTTCTGTCTAACCCCGCCTCCCTCGCTGACTCATTCTCAGCTTTGTGATGGTGACAGTTTCAGATGGAACAGAGCTGCATGTTCTGAATGAAAGAACTATGAGACCCCATACCCACTCTCCCCACCCCATTGGTTTAAATGTGCTTTCTTTGATTGGAAAGATAACAGCATTACTACTGGCAACAGGAATGGAGACGAAGGATTCAGGACTAGGTTTGGTTTGGATCCTTGCACCTCACTTACAAGATGCCAGGGACTTCTCTCCATAGATCTCTCTGACCTCTGAGCTGGCCTGGTCCCACAGCATCTTGATACTTGATGGTAGCGTGTCACTCCTGGTCATAGCAGTCTTGAAGCCTCCAGGCTCTATAATAGCCACCTTCACCCCAAAATAGGAGAGCTCCCTCCTGCAAGACAGACAGACATCAGAGACTTCAGAGGACTTTCTGTGAGAAAACTGACAATGAAAGTACAGTCAGGTGCCAACATGAGCCTGAGGTGAGGAGAGGTCATGAGCTTTGGGTCTGGGTTGTGCAGCAGATGGGGAAGAGACCAGTGTTGAGGGCATTACCTCTCTGCTTTTGGATGTCACACTTTTGGATATCTGGTGGATGGAGCTCACTGGCCTAAAGCTAGGCATTCTGTCCCGTGACACCATGTAAGACCTCTGTCCATGCACTGCAGACACTGAGGATATTGCCGTGCTTGCTCGAGTCACCTCCTTCTCAGTCACAAGTCTCAGTCTACCCTCATGTATCTCAGGAAGTTCTGAGGACATGTCCCACTTTGTTCCTGCAGCTGTCTTCAGAGAGCAAGGCCCTGCCTGCCACACCCTCCCAAGCACAGCCTTGCAGTTCCCTGCAGCCATGGATGTACCTGCCCCAAATGGCCCTTTCAACATCCCTTAAGGGTTTAATTGGCAACAGCACGAAATACATACTGTCCAGCACCCTCAGGCTCTCCACAAGTCTACCTTAGCCTGCCTGGTGACCCTCCTCTTCCATATCTGGCCTGGCCTGTCCCCCATGGAGAATCCACCTACACATACAGGTTCCAGCTTTCCATGTTTAACCTTTACTCTGCTGCAGCCCAGTCCTGCTACAGGACACTGACAAACAGGTGACAAGCATGGCTGTCACAGCTGACTGGGCTAAGGTAAAGCCACACTTCTGTCCCCTCGATCTCAATCTGTCTGTTGCCATAGTCTTCAGGTGAGGTTCCAAGCCTTTCTCTAATGCTGGGCAGGTTGGTTGTGGACTCTCTAGGGGCCTGACAATTACCTGTATGTTTGAATGACATGTTCATCCCAACTGAAAAACATGTTTAGCACCATACAGCTCAGGGTTCTGGATTCTTGGCCCAAAATACTCACAGAACCAATTCTACCTCAGTAATGTCCCCCATGCCCTCCCTCTTCCATGACAGGACAAGTTGAACTGAACTCAGGTCTCATTCCTGCCCTCTACTAGAGACATGGAAATGACCTTCCCAATGAATGATTCAGGGGGGAGAAGGTGAGAGAGCACCAAACCAGAGAGTGTCCTCTCCACAATGGGATCCTAAAGGCCTTGATTAAATAAAAGCCCTGACAATGCTTCCCTTAGGCCCCCACATCCCTGTCCATTACCTGAGGGAGTCTGAGAAGGCCTCTACACCATACTTGGAGATGCAGTAACCACCACCAAATAAAGACACTCGACCCATGACACTGGAGACATTGACCACACGGCCCCTTGCCTTCCTCACTGAGGGCAGCATGTTCAGAGTCACCTCGATCAGGCCCATCAGGTTCACATCCAGGACTTTTGCAAAGTCCTTCTTGTTCAGCCACTCATTGGGACCCGAGGGAATGGCGATGCCAGCATTGTTGACCAGGCCCCAGAGTCCTGGGGACAGTGGAAAGAAGAGAGAGTCACACAAGCCAGGTATAGTTATGGATGAAATGTATATTCAACAAGGTAAGACTGCTTAGACATGTGTTTAATTGAGAGTAGGGTACCATGAAGAACAGCCTGGTTTCCTCAGGGTTGGGGAACCCATCCCAGA